TGGAAGATAATGATGACAATTTAGAAACATGCTGAGAATATTCATATCAATGATATCAATATATATTTTTTTATCAATCATCCTATCCTTACTATAGTTAACACTACTAATCTTTACAATAATAACAATCATTATTATGACAATAAAGGTAGCAATTATAATAATACTACAGTTAGGACTACTAACAGTGATAGTAACAACTATATCAATACTGATATCTATTATAGCTGTTACTATTTCTAACACAGCTGCTATTAATACTAATGATAGTGATAACAATGATGATCACGATTAAGAAAGCAACGGTAATTATGAATGATAATAATGATGTCAACATAATATCAATGATGACAACAATAGCAATAATAGTAATGAACTGATAATGAATGATGATGATAATGATAATCATTATAATGATTATAATGATAATTATGATAATGATAACAATAAAGATGATGATAATGATTTTAATATTAATGATATAGATAGTAGTAGTAGTAGTAGTAATAGTAGTATTAATAATAATGATGATAATAATAATAATAACAATAATAATAATAATATTAATAATGATAATAACAATAATAATAATGATAACAGTAACAACAACAACAACAACAACAACAACAACAACAATAATAATAATGATAACAGTAACAACAACAACAACAACAACAACAACAACAACAATAATAATAATAATAATAATAATAATAATAATAATAATAATAATAGTAATAATAATGATGATGATGATGATGATGATAATTATCATTATCATGATAATGATAATAACAATGATAATAATGATAATAGTAATAACAGCAACAACAATTATAATAATGATAATGATTATTATGATAACAATAATAGTAATAATGATAATAGCGATAATGACAACAGAAATAATGATAATAATGAGGGTGATAATGATGTTGGTGATGTTGCAAATGATAATGATAAAAATTGTAACAATAATGTTAATGAAAGTAATCATTACGATGATGACAATAATGATTATAGAAACATAAATGATTATCCTAATCGGTATCATGGCTGTATCATCGTCATTATCATTAAGATCAAAATCATTCCTGTTTCTGATAATTTCTTAATCTTGGTGTTAACATTATCTTCAACAGTAACTGCTAAAATAAATAAATTGTAAAATGCATGAGAAATCAACCGAAAGGATTAACATACCTTTCTATTAATTATTTTCTTCAACATTCTATCGCCTCGTGCTACTGTGGTGAACCTGTTCTCCCATGGGACCAATAGGCTTCTCGTTATGATCGCTCCGCCCCTATTTGACCTGACCTTCACCCCCCCCTCCCGTTTCCGTTCTTGTCCCCCCCTTCCCTTATTCCATCATGCTTAGCGTCTTACTTGCTTGTTTTATTTTTTCTCTCTTTATGTGGTTCTTTCGTTGTCTCTAAGTCTGAGACTGACTCACTCTCTCTCTCTCTCTCTTTCTCTCTCTGGCTCTCTCTCTCTCTCTCTCCTCTCTCTCTCTCTCTCTCTCTCCTCTCTCTCTCTCTCTCTCTCTCTCTCTCTCTCTCTCTCTCTCTCTCTCTCTCTCTCTCCTCTCTCTCTCTCTCTCTCTCTCTCTCTCCTTGTCTTGTATGTATGTATGTATGTATATCTGTATGTCTGTATATCTATCTCTGTCTCGTACTTTCCCTTCGCAATGTAAGCACATTATAAGCATATAACAATGATCCTTATAAAACATCATATACATATATGCATGTGCACACACACATATTTATGTGTGTGTGTGTGCGCGTGAGAACATACATATGTATTAACACACACACCACACACACACACACACACACACACACACACACACACACACACACACACATACACACACACACACAACACACACACACACACACACACACACGCACACACCACACACACACACACACACACCACACACACCAAACACACAACACAATATATAATATATTATACTATATATATATATATATAGTATAGTATACTATATATATATATATATATAATAACATGCATAATATATAGTATATATATGTAATATAATTTTAAATTTAACATATTAATATATATATATGAATATATAATATTGTATATATACATACACACACACACACACACACACACACACACACAACACACACATCACCATACACACACACACACAACACACACACACACACACACACACACACACACACATATATATATATAGTAATATATATATAATATATATATATACTATGTATACTAGTATATATATATACTATATATATATTATATATATATATATAATATTATATATATATGATATATATATATATATATATATATATATATATATATATATATA